ACTAGAACTAAAATGGCATTTTAGTCAAGACTATGACTAAGTGCAAGTTCACATACAGGTTCGCATAAGAGAGTACACACCAACAGATTTAGCAGAAAACTTACTTTCCTTTCAGAATCAACATTTTCTGAGACACTATACTACAAAATACTCCCACAAATGCGTGCCATTGATTGCAAACAAGGTTTGTTAATTTGCACACACAAAGTATTTTTCCTAATAAATTAATTCAAGACCATGTTGCAAAAATGAATACACCTCAATGAAAGTCTTAGGAGCAAAGCAAAATTTTAGACAAAATCCTAGTTAACAAGAATTCAACTACAGGTGAGTCTAATCATTCATTAAACAGGTGTCCAGCAGCCAGTTGATTATAAAAGGGTGTTACTTAACAAAGAAAACACCTTCCCATTTCATGCTGTCAGCAATGGGACCACATGGAAGAGAAATGTCACAAGGCCTGAGAAAGAAAATGATTTCTTTACACAAGAAAGGTGAAGGCTACAAGAAGATCAACAAAGCTGTATTTATTAGTCAGAATACTTTAGCAAAAGTGATACAAAGATTTAACAAAGATTAAACTGCAGCCATCTCACAGAGACTTCCAGGCCGTCCGCAGAGGTTAACACCTCAACAGGAGCATCTTTTTATGAGAAGGGTTGAAGAAAATCGCCATGCAAGTTCACTGCAGGTAGCTAAAGAAGTAGAAAGCCAAACTGGGGTGACTGTTTCTCGTGATGCAAAACAGCGTACAGTGCAGAGGAATGGCATGCATGGGTGTCGTCCATGAAGGAAGTCTTTCCTAAAACCAATGCACAAAAAAGCCCACATAGAATTTTCCAGGGCCCATGCTGAAAAAGACTCCTGGGACTCTGTACTCTGGAGTGATAAGATCAAGATAAATGCTTTTGGAACTGATTGCTTCAATATTGTATGGCGTCACAAAGGTGAGAAGTACAAAGAAAAATGCATAGTGCCTACAGCTAAACGTGGTGGCAGTGTCCTCCTTTGGGGCTGCATGAGTGCGCTGGTGTTGGGGAGCTGTATTTCATTGATGGTATCATAAATTCAGATGTACTGCTCTATATTGAAATAGAAGATGCTACCATCACTCTGTGCCCTTGGTCGCCATGCACTTTTCCAACAGGACAATGATCCAAAACACCCATCTAAGGCCACGGTTTCATTTCTGAAGAACAGGGTGAAAGTGATTCAGTGACCAAGTATGTCTCCCGATCTGAACCCAATCAAACACCTAAGAGAAAAGTTGAACATCACTCTCCATCCGGCATCCAGGCTCTAAAAGAGGTCATTATTGAAGAATGGAAAAAGATAGATGCTGCAATATGTCACCAACTTGTTCATTTCATGCTTAGAAGACTTGGTGCTGTCCTTACAAATCATTTAGGTCATACAAAATACTACATGTAGTAGTTTTTGTTGTGGGGTGTATTCATTTTTGCATCAACTAATTTGAGTAAAATTGAAGATTTTGTAATCTAAGTTATATTAATCTTACTTTTAATGTAATGAACTAAACAGGTGTTCTATAAAACTCAGCTTTGCCAAATTTGTGGAAATTCTTCTTGTGTTCATTGAGATCTTATTTAAAATCCTACTTTTCAAAAGGGGTGTACTCCTTTTATGCTGAGCATGGTATATGCAGATTGGATGCGGTTTGAATCACATCCAATCCGCATGACATGTGAAATACCATTGCTTCCTATGGTGCCTGTTCACGTATGTCAGGTGCACTGGCAGTGCGGATTGAAAAATAGTGCTGTCCGATTTCTGTGCAGTGCGTCTGGTTCAGGTGCAGATTACAGGCTATTGACTTCTATGGGAACCGTTTCTAAATCGCACATGTGTGAATAAAATCCTGACCTGAACCTAATGTAAATCTGACCTGAACCACAGAGCTACTGTGTCAATTAACTGTGAAACCGGAGCTTCAGTTTATACTGCACATGTGTAAATCCACAATAAAACAAAATAGAAATTTGGTGTCAAAATTAACACTGGGTGCTTGATATCTTTTTCTATGAACATCTTCTACAGTGTTCATTTTTTTATAATCCTAAAGCAGGTGTAGGCAACCTGTTGACCATGGTGTGCTGAAAAATGTTGTCACAGGAAATTGAGAGTGCCAGTTATTTAAAAAATGTCAACTTGACACACTCAATCATGAAAAGGATTTTTTTTTACAGTAAATGCTGTAAACTATTTGAATAATAGAAAACATTGAACTTTCAAGGATGGTAAATGGTAACTTACCCCTTTTCCAGGACACTGTGCTGTGAGGCAACTATGGTAAGGTTGAAGTGAATGTCAAACGAGGACTTCTGCGAAATGTACAGTTGGAAACATGTGAGATGATAGTTGACACCCTAATAACATTCTCTCAGATCAAACCCAATCTTTGTACCTCAGACCCTAAATCGGCGATCATTCCTGCACTTTCACACACTCAGATCACCCCACTTCCTGCACCTTCATTCCTCAGATCACCACAATTCTTGCACCTTCACACCTCAAATTACCCCAATTCTTGCACCTTTACCCCTCAGATCACCCCAATACCTGTACTTTCACATCCCAGATCGACCCTGTTTCCTGCACCTTCACATCTTTGATTAGCCCAATTCCTGCACCTTCACACCTCCGATCACCCCAAATCCTGTACATCTGCAACCCTGATCAGGCCCAATTCATGTTTCTTCATGCCTCAGATCAGCTACAGTCTGTGCACTTTCACGCCCCAGATCAGCCCCAGTTCCTGCACCTTTACAACTCGGATCACTCCAAAACCTGCACTTTCACACCCCAGACAGTCCCAGTTGCTATTTCTTCAGGCCTCAGATCAGCATCAATTCCTTCACCTTTACACTTCAGATTAGCACCAGTTCCTGCATTTTCACACCTCAGATCACCCCAACTCCTACACCTCCATACCTCAGATTAGCTCCACGTCTGTACATTCACACCTCAGATCACCCCAATTCCTGCACCTTCACATCTTGGCTCACCAATGCCTGCACCTTCACCTGTTAGATCACCCCAATGGTGGTACTTTTGCGCCCCAGATCACCCTAATTCATGTACTGTCACATACCAGATCAGCCCCAATTCCTGCACCCTCACACCTCAGATCTGCCCCAAATCCTGTACCTGCACACGTCAGATCACCCCAATTTGTGCACCTTCGCACCTCAGCTCACCCATTTACTGCAACTTCACACCCAGGTCCCCAGCGACAATTTCTGTGCCTTCAGGCCTGAGATAAGCCCCAATTCCTGAACCCCCAGAACTCTGATCACAATTTCTGCACCTTCACACCTCCGATCAGCCACTATTCCTGTACCTTTACACCTCAGATCAGTCCCAATTTCTGCACCTTCACATCTCAGGTTAGTTCCAATATCTACACCTTCCCACCTCAGGTTACCCCAATTCGTGCACCTCCGGACCTCAGTTCACCCTAATTCCTGTTCCTTCAGGCCTCAGATCAGTCCCAATTCCAGCATTTTCTCACCTTAGAACACGCAAATACATGCATCGCTGACCATCTCCAATTCCTGCACCTTCACACTTCAGCTCACCTCAAATCCTGCACCTCCAAGCCTTAGATCAGGCCCAATCCCTTAACTCCGGGCCTCAGATCAGCCCCGATTTCTGCACCTTCACACCTCAGCCCATCCCAATTCCTGCAGCTTTACTTCCCATTCTCCAGCAACAATTCCTCTGCCTTCAGGCCTCAGATCAGCCCCAATTCCTGCACCTTCACACCTCAGATCAGCCCCCATCCCTGCACCTCCAGACCTCAGATCACCCCCTATTTCTGCACCTTCACACCCCCCCATTTTCCAGCGACAATTCCTGTGCTTTCGGGCCTCCTAGAACCCTCAATTCTTGAACTCCCCTGACTCTGATCACAATTCCAGCACCTCCAAACCTCAGATCAGCCCCAATTCCTGCACCTTCACACCCACTTCATGCATTTTTACAACTCAGATCAGCCAAAATTCCTGTTCTTTCAGGCCTCAGATCAGCTCCAATTTTTACACCCTTACAGCTCATATCACCCCAGTTACTGTACCTTTACACTTCAGTTCACCCCAAATCCTGCACATTCACACCTCAGATCACCCCCATTCCTGCACCTTTACACCTCTGATCACCCCAAATCCTGAATATTTGCATAATTTTTATCAAAGTATCCGGGGGGGGAGGAGAAAAAAGCTTGTGTTTTTGCCCACAGCAAATAAAATTCTCCCATCCATTCTCTATGGCACTTGTTATGGCACCCTGTGGAAGGGGTTAATAGCCATTTGAAAATAAATCTCTCTGGCTATATTCCCTCCAAGCTGAGCCAGGAGGGAGAGAAATGTTCGGAGGTAGGGCAGGTACACATATGGTAAAAGCCTTGCCATGAGTCGGCTCAGGCTAAAGGAGTGCTGTACCACAGAGGTGGAAAAATACTGAATAGAATTACCCTTTCAAAGTGAGAACAAGCAGCCTGGGGAATCTGACTCGACACAGCTTCAGTGTGAAGAGAGTAACGCAGGAACCGACCAGCAGCAGGAATAGAGGTGAGCAGACACTAGCCGAGCTGCTTCTTCTGTATGCAGCCACTGGCCAGTTGTATTGTTTGATAGGTGGGTCTCCCAGAACTCCCCTTGGGTGCCATCCTTGATGTTGTCTTGTGCCACCTCCAGCACTAGTGTCGGAGGTTGCCTACCCCTGTCCTAAAGGTAAAAAAGGGGTTGCCACATAAATATAATTTAATTACAATGTTTGACATTCCTAAAGCCTTTGTAGATGAGAACATTTTAGGTATCTCATCTTCATTTTAATGTATGAATGTTTTGTTCAACATGAAAAAAGCTTAGATGTTAAACATGCTTTTTATAGATTCGCATGAACCAGTTAAGGTTAGCCTAAGGGAAAAGCTAAAATGTGTATTGGTAACATTAACAGTTGCCTTTTTTCTTGCAGCCACCATGCATTTCAGTCTGTTTAAGAAGAAGACAGAGCCTCCCGAAACTCACACGATGCAGCCTAGCACAGAGCCACCAATTGTCTCTCAGGAGAACTCAACTGCTGTTGCTGGGTCTGGCGACAAGAGTGCAGATACTTTTAGAAAGATCGAACAGGAGCTTATGAACCAGTTCAAAAAGATTCCATGTGAGTACATGTGATGTGAAAGCTGTTAATGTCGATTGCATTAAAAAAAAAATATCCTATATCCAGGACCCAAGAAGGACACTGAACATGAATATCCAGTATTAAAAAAAATAAAGACATATGCTTCTTCATATTGAATTTTGAGTACATCTCGGCACACAAAATAATCCACTGGGCTCTATAAGAAGCATTGAAATAGATATAGTTCCTATGTGCTAATTTCTAAAGTAGAGAGACTGGCAAACACTGCAGGCACTGCAAACATTTACGCTTATATTAATATTAGTTATAACAGAACGTAAAAGGTAAACTAGGTGTATTTCAAGCCCAGCTAAAAGGCTCTTTCAGCTTGAACACTTTTATCTCATATACTTACCTTTTCTAGATGTAGTCAGACTGGTCATGTGATGCGCAGGGTCCTTTTCCTTTTTTAATCTTTTGCTGGTTTTGGGCTGCCCTTTATATGACAGAGTATGATAATATACCTACTGTATCAGTGCTATAATATTGAATCAGTCAGGCCCTAGTAACAATGGCAAATTAGAGTCTTTTCTGGATAATAAGGGTAATTATAGCAAATCTTCAAGTGTCTGCTCTTAGACAAGACATTTACTATTAAATGGAACACAGATTAATTTTTAAGATAATTATATAAAGCTTTATTTAAATTTGTTTGTCATACACATATCGGCATGTAAAAGCTGATAAGGTAACACAAGCTAAATAAATCAAAAAAGGACACAAAATATACTGTAAGTTAAGCTAAGTGGAATTCTAAGTAGAATTCTAAAAAAAAAATTAACACAGGGTGAATTAAAACATTTTGCTGGCATACAAATTTAAAGTAGAACTAGGGCCTCCCTTACTATAAATGGAGGGTTCCTAAAAGGGGATTGTCCCTGTTGTGGCTGTCTCCTGTCTCAACAATACTTTTATGGGTCCCTGTGAAGGACAACCCAGTCTGTAAAACCCTGTGGCTAAAGGGTTGTAAGACCATGTTTTCACTTGCAGGCCCTGCTCTGCAGTTTGTCATTGTGGTTATGTTGATCTGTCAGACCTTAGCTGTCTGGTTCAAGGTATCCTGTGATCCAGGTGTTGTCCTCCCAACAAGAGAAGCTCTTGGCTGTGGCCCTGTTCTATTTTTGCTGACAGGCTAGGGGATATGATTTGTAAAATGTCCAAAATGGATGAACTTTCAGTACATAAAGAGGACCCTCTGATTCAGATATTGATCTGTGGCCCTTCAGTACAAGATGTGCCTGTTGCCTTTGTCCATTTGATTGTGGAAGCACCTTTTCAGTGAATCCTTGGACAATTTTATCAAGGTTGTCACTGGGGGAAAAATACCTTTAGCTCCAGAGCAGAAAAAAAATTAATCCTTCTGGGAAACCCTCTTCTTCCAAGAAATGTTCCTTTTGTCCCTTCCAGGACTCCAGGGCAAAGGCAGGAACTCTGTTCAAATATAAGGCCTGGACCCCCAAATCCTCTAGTTCCGTGAATAAGTCTTCCTTTCAGTAAGAGGACAACCTTACTTCTCAAAGCGGGGGGGAGATATCTGCTGGCTTTTATGGCTATCTGACCCCAGGGTGTTCAGGGCCAGAGAATGGTATCCAGAAGTTGCAAGCTTTAAATTCCATTCTTTACCTCCACCCCACTCCATGTTCTTAAACTTGCCAAAGTGTTTGCAGAGATTGATAGACCTCCATGCTGGAACAACTTTGGAACAAGTCCCCTTGCAGAGGGTTATTTTGTCCCAGAGAAAAAAAACGAGTACCAATGTTTCTACAGTATTTCTACCTGTTCGATGTTTCCAAGTCAAAAGAGGACATCCGCTTTGTACTAGATCTGAAGGTTCTCAACACTTTCCTCTGAGTACAAAAAATATGCATGTAATCTGCCAGGTTAGTCATTGCTTCCTTCCATCCTGGGGACCTTCTAGCCTCTGTAGATGCCTACTTGCATATCCCAATCTACCAAGTGCAACAGCGCTTCCTGCATTTTGCTGTGGGCTCACAACAATATTAATTTGTTGGCCTTGGTTTGTCCACTACACCTTGGGTTTTCACAAATGCTAAACTGACTTTTGGATGAGGGTTTCTGGCCCAATAGTGGCCTCCATTGAGGCAGTTTAAAAAGCCCAATTCCACTCCAGGCTGTTGCATCTCGGCATTCTGGCTCTGTGGGACTATAGAGCTTAGTCTTTGGGCTGTCATATCTGTCTGACTCTGGAGCTCTTGACTGCAATGTCATCCAATCTGAATTCAGTCAGGCAGTGCCTCATCACTGACATACATAAACCATCAAGGAAGAACTAGAAGTCTTGCAGCTCAAGAAGAAGCCTCAGTTTCATTGCCTGTACTCCAGAAAATATTCTCACCCCAAAGTGTTTCAAGACCTCAGTCGCAGGTGGAACATGTTGGACAAGGACCTCCTGGCTTCCAGGTCAAACAACAAACTGGCAAGGTTTGTCTGTAGGTCCAGGGATCTTCTAGTCTTTATAGTGGAGCTCTAATGACAGGGTGGGATCGGTTCAACCTGACGTATGCCTTCCTTCTTCTGAAACTCCTTTTTTGGCTACTTTACAGGATCAAGGTGATGTGCATTCCAGTGATACTCATCGCACTGAACTGGTCCAGCAACACATTGTATTGGGACCTTGTCAGACCTCTGACAGACTCTTTTCTGAAGCAGCAGATTTTTCTCCATTGTATGGATGTGGTTGGTGTATGCTGTTCCAATTTACCTCTCAGTTAGTTTCCTTAGGACAGTCTGTCATTCCTGACAAATCCTGTAGGGGGAAATCTGCTTTCTACCATTGCTAGGTGGATTCAACAACTCATCATTCGCACTTATTCTCTCAGGTACAAGGTTCCTCCTCTACTGGTTAGAGCACATTTCACTAGGTCAGTTAGTGTCTTTTGGACTTCATCAGGAAATCAATCATATGTTTCATATTTGCAAGCTTGCAACCTGGTCGTCTGTTTATGTCTTACCAGGTTGATGCCTAGTAATGCTCGTTTGGGTGTAAGGTTATTCAGGCAGTTCAATCATCTGTTGAGCCTCTCTATTAAACTGTTGGTTGGTTTTCATGGGCCTTTATCTCCCAGTCTGAATACAGCTGTATAGGTGATAGCAAGAGTTTGACATATTTTTTTTCCCAAAAGTTTGCCTTTGGAAATTTTGTTGACCAATTATATTATATAATCCTTTTTACTAGGTACTAACTTGACCACGCATGTCCCAATCCAGCATTGTGAAAAATCTCAAGTGCCCAGTGTTTGATATTTTTCACTTGGAAAGGAATGGATCCTTGCATTGTTGATACACTGAACATGGTAAAAGTCAGGGGCAACTGTTGGGGGATGGGTGGGGGAAAAAAAATTATTTATACACACACTTGCACTGAGCTGATTCCCCCCCCCCTTCATTTGCAGGTAAAAGGAAATGTAAATCTGTTTGAATGAGCTAAGGATGTCAGAAGCAGACAGAGTAACTCTAAAGCATCTAAAACTGTCAAGTTCAGCGTGAATGCACCTTAAAGGCAATGTTTAAACAAAAACTAAAAAGCATAAGAGACAGTACTTACTATCAACACAAAGTGTCCCCTGTACTGCTGGCTGCAAATGTAGTTTAAATATTTAGTCTTTTGAGGAATGAACTATAAATGGAGGAGGCAGACCTTTTCATTCATCTTTTTATCCTCCAGTCATAGATCGGTTTTAATGCATGGAAGCCCTAGTACAGATTCTATGAATGGAATAGGGCAGGGCAAGAAAGGCAGGCATATTTGGCACTCTTTACTGAACTGTGTGCACAATTATTAGGCAAGTGAGTATTTTGACCAAATCATAATTTTTATACATACTGTCCAACTCCAAGCTGTATAAACTTGAATTCTTTTTAGATTTAAGCATATCAGGTAATGTGTATTTATGTAAGGAGAGAGGGTGTGGCCGAAGGAGATCAACAACCTATATCAAGGTGTGCATAATTATTAGGCAGCTTCTTTTCCTCAGGCAAAATGGATCAAATAAGAGATTTAACTGACTCCGAAATGTCAAAAATTGTAAATGGATCAGAGGAATTCAGAGGAAACCTGCCCTCCACTTAACAAGACACATAAGTTGAAACATAAAGACTGGGCCAAGAAATATCTGAAGACAGATTTATTGAAGGTTTTATGGACTGATTAGATGAGAGTGACTCTTGACAGACCAGATGGATAGGCCTGTAGCTGGATCAGTAATGGGTGCAGAGCTCTTCTTTGACCCAGATGCCAGCAAGGTGGAGGTGGGGTACTGGTATGGGCTGGTATTAATAAAGATGAGTTAGTTGGTGTCAAGGTCCTACCTTTTTACCAGAGGTTATGTTACTCCATGTGCTGGCATCCATCTTGGATTTCTGCAGAGCATGGTGGGAATCTTTTATGCCTTCAGGTCTCTGAGGTCCATCCCCCAGAGGGGTGTGGCTGATGACATATAAGCCTGTGTTCCGCACATGCTCTTTGCACTTGTGTCTTGTGTCTTTGTGTTGCTGTTACTCTGTTCTGACTCTCGTGACTCTCCTGGAATCTGACTCGGCTTGTGACCTGACCATTCTTTGTGTTCTCCTTTGATCTGACCCTCCGTTGCTGAACCCGGCTCGTGACCTGTGATTCTCGTCTGCTGTCCTGTACCGTTTTGTCTCGTTGTTGTTGACCCGGCCTGTCTGACTACTCTATTGTCTTTACCACTAGCTACACGCCATTGGCGGCGGCCATTTCCGCAGCTGGGGTGCCTCGGGGGCCGCGACCTGGTTCCTGGCTGCGTTAAGTCCATCCCCACCATCAGGGGCCCTGGTGAAGGGCAGCCTGGGACTTAGACTCCGCGCCCTGAGGGACTTCGGTCTGTGGGTGGTGGTTGTCGTCAGCCTGTGCGTTACATTGATATTAGGCCTGCCTGTCCGTTTCCCAGCCCCTGCCCTGACAGTTGGACAGTTTTTGGGTTGAAGATGGACTCAAAATTAACTCCCAAGCCTGCCAATTTTTAGAAGACACTTTCTTCAAGCAGTGGTACAGGTAAAAGTCTGCATCTTTGAAGAAGGCTGTGATATTTGTGCAGGACAATGCTCCATTGCATGTATGAAAGTACTTCACTGAATGGCTAGCTAGTAAAGGCTTTAAAGATGAAAGAATGACATGGCCCCCTTCCTCACCTGACCTAAATCCGATTGAGAACTTGTGGGCCCTTCTTAAACAGGAGATTTACGTTGAAGGAAAATAGTACACCTCTGTGAACAATGTCTGGGAGACTGGTTGCTGCTGCACAAAAAGTTGATCGTCAACCGATCAAGAAACTGACAGACGCCATGAATGGAGGGCTTATGACTGTTATGAAATGAAGGGTGGCTATATTGGTCATAGATTTTTTTTTTTTTTTGTCAGAAATGTTTATTTGTAAATTTTGAGTTGCTTGATTTGTTGTTCTCACTTTTAGAGATGAAAATAAAATAAGTGAGCTGGGAACATTTTTGTTTTTAATTTAGTTGCATAATAATTCTACAGTTGCCCAGTAATTGTGCACACATAGATATTATCCTAAAAAAGCCAAAACCTCACTTTTACTTTCCTAAATATTCAGGTTTGAGGTTTATTAACATTTTGCATTAAGAGCACTGTAGCTGTTCAATAATGAAGTTATTCCTCAAAAATACAACTTGCCTAATAATTGTGCACACAGTGTAGTGCATATAAGCACATTAATCCCTGAGGCACTTGAAGATTACTAGGTAGGATCGGAGGACTGAAGATCCAAATCCGCAACACATAGCACAAGGGACATTTCATATTTTAACTACTGTCCCTTGTGTTGATTTATAAAAACTTTTTTTGAATAAACCTATACTCTAAAAACATCTCACTTTGTACTTTCTTACCACATCTACCAATGTGACAGGCCTTAGATTAGAACAGAAACTGTGCACTTTTGTTTTTTTAACCACTTTCCATCTGCCCTATAACAGTTTTACTGCTACAGAGCAGCTCTCCTGTGCCAAATCACGCGTGTGTGTGTGTGTGTATGTATGTATGTATGTATATATGTGTGTGTGTGTGTGTGTGTGTATATATATATATATATATATATATATATATATACACACACACACAAACACACACACACACACGGTTTTGCACTTCCACCGAACGGGGGCATGCACACGCCACTGGTGGATCGCTTCTGCTTTGAACTGTCAGAGCATAAGCTGATCTGTGAGTCCCAGTGAACAGATCTTTGCCGACACCTGTAGATCATTGGACAGGAAGGAAGAACACAGCTGTGTCTATGGTTTACAAAGGCACAGTTCTGTTGTGACAGGGGAAAGTAATGGATCATGTGTCCCTGCAGAGCTGGAAATGCGATCCATTACTTCCCCTTGTACTAGCGCCATGTAGTGTACACCAAGAACATAGCTAGGCACACACTTAGCCTTTTGATCATCCTAGATATTAACCCCTTTCCAACCAGTGGCAATTGTCAGTTCAAGTAACGCAGTGCCATATCGCAAAAAATGGCCCGGTGAGGAAGGGGGATAAATGTTTTGGAGCTGAAGTGGTTGATTTCAAAATTAATGAGGACATAAGATAGGAGGGTCCCAACTTTCCCTCTGCTGAGGTACCCCTTTATTGTGGCTCTGATACTAAGTCTTATAATGCATATCTCTCTGTATGTTTTTACACTACAACTTTGTGGGATGTAGCTACTTGGGTATAGGGAAAGACACAGACCACTGGAAAAACATTGCTTCATGTAAGCCAAATATGCTATCCTTCGAGTCAAAAGCATAGTTAGTTTCCTATACTTTTGTCAAGCACTAATTATAACAGATTAAAGGCTTGTTCACACCATATCTGTTGAGCTGTGCTTTTATGTTCTGCGCACCACTGCACATATATGTTGTGAACATGGCACATCTATACGTGTGAACATGTCCTGCAAGGGTACAGTTTAAAAAAAATAATGGGAAATGACCATAGAATATATGTTTGTTTTATATATATTTTTTTTTTTCATCTCCTCTTGTAGTGCCACCTTGGGCGATCATAGCCATAGCAGTGGTAGCAGGCTTGCTGATCATCACGTGCTGCTTCTGTATATGTAAGAAATGTTGCTGCAAAAAGAAGAAAGGAAAGAAAGAGAAGGGAAAGGGAATGAAAAATGCTCTCAACATGAAGGACATGAAAGGATCTGGAGGGCAGGTAAAAACACAATATACAAACGGATAACAATGCAGACAATCAAGAATTATTCCTAACCATACATTTTGCACAAACAGACTTGGATCAAAGCTCTCTTTATATGTTTGTAAAACCACAATAGTTAATAATTATTTATTTTTTGTAAAAGGGTGGATTAAGCTCCTCTCTTTTCTCTCCGTGTGGATTGGTGGCAGAGCTTTGAAAAGGGCACTGTGTCCTACATGACCCCAAATGATTGGCTGTTATTCACCTAAACAGTTACAGCTTTCTTCTCTTTTTTTTTTTTGGACAATAAATTATGTTGCCTTTCTCAAACTCTTGCAATTCTGACGATCCAAAAAAAAAAAAAAAATCTTAGGATATGCCTTATTAAATGGCTATAACATCTACAGAATCATAACAAACAACACAAAGAACACTAATTGCACCTCCTTTTCCTCTCTTTTTCTTGCTTCCCTGTCTTTTTCTACTCTCAACTGATGTCTATATGTTCTTCTTGCTGCATCTTGATAACTTTCTGTGTTGGTAAGTGCATATGCATGACTGGAGTGTCAAAGGAAAACAATTTATTTAATTTTTGGTCACTGAAAAGGATGAAAGCAATAATGTGGGTGTTTAAGGGATGAAAAAGACAGTACTTTACTGTACTTTAAACATCAACCTCACCCTGCTAGCAGATGTAATATTGTAAGGCAGGGAAATGGGATTGTTTTGTTCATAGCATACCTACTTCGTTTACTTATGCTGGTGCAAGCTTTTGAAAAGACCACTGATTATGTAGTTTTCTATTGTAGAAAAATGGAAATCCTGTATGTGTGACACTTGTTTAGCCTGTACATAACTGTAAATAACTATAACTAGATGTCACTTGTGTCAAAATTTTAAATATTTGATAGATGCATTAAAAGCTTGCAAAAGTATAAATTAATAAGCCTTATGGTCTGCAAAGGTTATCTCAGTGCCCTACCTTGCATATGACATTTGGAAATTCGTGGAGGGGGAGTTGCACTTTTAATAGCATGCCATTTTTACATTTTTTTCATAGCATTTGTTCATAGCTTACCTAGCTTAATTTGCATATCCCAGCAGTGCATTAGTACCTTTTTACTTAACACAACAGCCATATATTTTTTCTGATCAAGGTTAGTGTGTGGTCAGAAATAGAGATTTTAGCTTTTTCTGCCAATCTTTGACTGCACGTGCATGTAACTGTTTAACAATGAGCGGTCACATGTGCATGTAACTGTTTAAGCCAAACTGGTTTGAAGACCATGTGAACTGACATTTAGTGAACAGCAAATGTTTTGTTCTTCCAGAATATTTGCATGCAGATCTCTCCAATCTGTGTAGAAATATACGGTTTATGAATGGAAATGTAGGTGTCCAGGAGATTGTAAGATGTTCCACATATCATATTGATCTGCGAGCAAGATATTTAAGGGGATGAAAAACTGATACATTTGATGCATTTGTGATTCTCCTGATGTGATTATCCGTATTTACTTTTTACTTTTCAAGTTATGGTAGCTGTAGGTGGTTTTCAGTGCTCTTGGGAACTTGGATAATGAGAGGGATTATTAAATACACTATACAATTGATTGTAACTAAATATAAAAATAAAATGGTGAAAGTTAAGGATCCAAAAAATGGGTAGTGGCAAAGGCAACAGTGCCGACTTCTCAAAGTAGGATTTGCTTGTGTAAAATTCTGGATCTTTATTGATCATATAATAAAATGTAACACTGTCAGTGCATTTTATGGCTTACTTCAGCCACTTTATCAGGAAGGTGTATGGCGACACCTTAGGTGCTGCTTAAAAGGTGTGGCTTTCTTGTAAAGCATGTTTTTTTTGTAAAGATTTTCCCCTTTACCACTTTTTAGGCTAGGCTCTTTCACCTTCATATGCACTGTGATCCTATCCCCCTCAGCACAGGATACTCTGGAAGAATCCCAACAACTCCTGCTTGGAGACAGCAGTTGTCTCTGCATGCTAAATTTACAGGTTGTTTGATCCCTGTTTACACTGTAGAATGTTGGCTTATCAATTAATAATCTGAACTAACCTATAACCGATAACTTTTAATATATCTATACTGCACTCAAGAGTTTCTCTCCGGGCCTCTTTCCCCATTTTCTTCATCAGTCTTTCAGGGAATCTCTTATTCTCAGAAAAATAAAATGCTTGCACGCTGATTTAAAATGAACGTAACTAAAAAAAATGAAGGTTTGCTATGTAAGGACTCCAGCATAATTATAGACACATAATACTGCTGGATCTTGTTGCCAGAAGCTTGTAGAAAGAGCCTGCATAAATAGTTCATAAGATGCTCCCATTTATTTTCATACAGCCTTTAACAGTGTGCACATGTAAAATCATTCTAGTGGCAAGAATAACCATTAATCCTAGCATACGCCTTTGCATGCATGCGTGCACATTTACATTTGTGTTCGCATAAATGAAAAAAAAAAAAAAAAGCATACTCCTCTGAAAGCAACATTTTTTTTTTTTTTTTTGCACCCTCGTGCATGAACTGTTATATGGAACAAGTAGAAATGTTAATTGTGCCTAAGCAGTACCCTAGAAAATGTTTTTTCTTCTTGAAGTCTTCCTTGAAAGTAGTAGCGCACCTCCCATGCCTAGGTACTTATGTGTCTAAAGCCTCATATATGTATATCTGCAATGGAAGATCAAATAAGGCAGTGTTGCTTTTCACAGTTAATCTCATGAGATTTGAAGCTGGATTTTGTGATCCACTACTGTCTTGCTCACTGCCTCTTGGCAGAGAGGAGGGAAAGTTTTATACCTGTGGATCTGCAGAAAAGATTCTCCCTGCTTCTGCTTCATTCATTCTGTAGATTTTTGTTTCCTCCACCCCTCCTGCTACACCTTGATCGTTTCCTGAACCAGTCTTCAGACCATCAATCATTAGGGGGAACGTGGAAAGAGAGACCTCCTCCAGAACCAAGGTGGCTACTTTCATATAGAGGCACAATGCCGAACAAAGCATGGTTAGTACTAGGGTAAAGATCAGCTGCCGGGAGTCCATGGGCAAAAGAGCTGATCAGTCTTTTGACTACTGCTTTCATCTTTTTGTACACAGCCTTCATAGTTCAGGTTCTCTGTAAGATTGCAACAGAACAGTAAAATATAACAATAGCAGCTAATCAGACTTCACCTTTTGCAATTCCAAAATTAAAACTTTTTATTGAAAATCATACACTTCTGTTATAATGGATGAGAATATACATAATATTGTGTGCCATACACATGGCCAACTGTCTAGAGGTCACATATATACATAGGAGTGTTTTGTTTAGAGCTTGGGTTGTAAAAGACCACCCTGTCATTAGTTCATGTCTCCAATGTTTATTTCTCTGATAATTACTACTATATTGAGACCTCCCCTAGCATGCATAAACCATGTCAATAATCTTGCTGTAAGTACACATTATTATTTCTAAATTAACTGAAAGAAGTAATAAGCTTAATACCTGTCTGAAAACTCATTAAAAACTTCCGTTTTAGATGCTATTAGCCTCTTTCTGAGTAAGATGACTGCCTCAGGATAAGTATGCAGAATGCAATTTAAAATTGCAGGTTACATCAAAAGCTTCACATATAAGGATTTGAGCATAACAGGTTTGCTTTAGGTTCCCCTTGCCAGCATTTAGAGCGCGATATTTGTCAGTTATCTTTGGATTAGGTGAAATCTGATGCAATACCTGCAGTGCCTTTTAGTGGCAACCTCGAAAACCCATTTAGCACATCTCATTGAAATAATTAATAACCTGATATTACAGGAACTTTTCTATAAAGAGAAATAGTGATATCCCACTCTGTAGGACCAATGAAATGTCGTACAGTTTGATCAAGAAACTAATGGTCTTCCCACATTTAGAGAAACTATGCAAGTTGCCTCTAGGCTACAGGTTAGCATACAGTTCATGCAAAAATAGTAATCATTGTCAAGTTTCCACAAAATGGTTCATTATGTACACTACCCCTGTAGGAGTTGATGAGTTTTGGGTTCACCTATAGTCCTGCACAGCCAGGCAACAGGCATTTTCCCCACATACCAGCATCCAGAAGACAGTAACCAGTCCTTGAGCTTTTTTCTGTTAATTTTATTAGGAGAATATGAACTTGGATGGTGTAAGATGGCCCAAGAGAAGGACAAACTTCCTGAAACTATATACAAGTCTTTGCAACAAACATTTCTGTTCTGGAGAGCTTGCCATCATTTCCTGCTGTACCACCCCAGACCCTAGATACTCCTCTATCTGCTGTTTTTGATGAATCCCTGAGCAGGGGATCCAGTGCCTGTCACTTTAAGAGAAGACTGTTCCAATTAGCAGCTAATCCAGTTTTTGGTTACTGGCCCAGGGAGTGTAGGTCTGTACACTCAGTTCTCTTCCTTTGAGCTGATGGGTCGGTAGCTGCTCTCAGGCCTTCTGCTGGGCCTCTTTCCCTGCTGCATAGGTGGTCCTTGCTCTGGGGGCCGATGAGGTCCTGAGCTTTCCTGTTTTCCAGGTCCTTTGCCTGTAGGTGAACCCCTTCCCATCTGGGCCCCTTCCCAGACTCCCGCTCTCCAGCCTCTCCATCTTCCACCCGAGCACTCCCGCTGCTGAGTAGGCTCTGTCACTCTTAAGGGCTGTCCTGATCCCATGCCTAGCCTCCTGTTGGGAACTGGTCAGGATCCCTTAGGAGTGCAGACCAGCCACTCCTCACCCCTCCCACTGCTTCTAGAATTTTCTCCAAAACTCTAGAGCAGAGGGAAGTCCCAGAAAGCTGGTCTTCAGAGCCTCTCTGCTCTAACCTGAATTTGACCTTCCTCAGACTAGTACCACAGGCTGCTACTCAGCGTCTGACAATTTAGAATCTAGCTAACCCGAGCTATCTAGGACATTGCTACATTCATATAGGTTAGTTGTATATAGGACTTGGAACTGGAAACTAGGATGTTATCGTCACAGGGTTTAGAACTCCGAGGAGGGTTTATACCAGCTTTTCTCAACCTTTTCAACACAGAACAACTCTTGAAATAACATTCCAGTCTCTGTGAACCCCTGATAAAAATTTCTTCATCTACAACTCCTGATACATTAGTGTGATGGTCAGTGGGAAGAATACCCCTTACACTGGTGGTCATTGGGAAGAATTACCCCCTTACAGATAGATCAGTAGTGTCAGTGGGAACTTATCTGAGAGGCAGAAATTGCTCAAAGAACTCCTAGCAATCTCTTGGAGAAACCCTGGTTTATACAGATGCCATAATGCTTTTACTATATTTCAGTTTGAGAAAAAAGACTGCCACACATAAGTCTCCGATGTTTTGTGACATTCATGTGACATATTGGGGTTTATTTACTAAAGCTGGACAGTGCAAAATCATGCTCACTTCTGCATAGAAATCAATCAGCTTCCAGGTTTTATTGCCAAAGCTTTATTAACCACCTTCTGCCTGCCATATAGTACAATGACGGGAGCAAGGTGGTTCTCTCGATCTCATAGGACGTCATATGACGTCCTTCTATTCTCACAGCGCATGCGCAGCTCAGGGAACGGGCAGCAGGCAGCGCGGCAATCGCCAGTGTGCTGTGTCCCTCGGACACAGTGCATCACGGATCATGGAAAGAGCCGAAGATGTCGGCTCGGTCATGTGATCAGCTGTGTCCAATCACAGCTGATCACATGTAAACACGGAAATGCCGGTTATGGGCATTTCTCTTCTCGAGCTGTCACGCTGACGGCTCAAGAGGAGAGGAGAGCCGAGCCGGTAATCTGCTTTCCGCAGAGGGGACATGTACATTGATCATCAGGGCACTGATGATCAGTGTGGCCCCAGAAGTGCCACCTGTCAGTGTCCGTCAGTGCCACGTGCCAGTGCCCATCAGTGCATACCAGTGCACATCAATGCCACATATCGGTGTCCATCTGAGCTGCCTTTCAATGTCACCCATCAGTGCCACCTATCAATGCCAATCAGTGCCACCTATCAATGCCAATCAGTGCCACCTATCAGTGCCAGTCAGTGTTGCCTCTCAGTGTGCATCAGTGCCAGTCAGTGCCGCCTATCAGTGCCATATATTAGTGTCGTGTATCAGTGCTGCCTTTCAGTGCCCATCAGTGATGCCTGTCAATGCCCATCAGTGCAACCTACCAGTGCCTCCTCTTCAGTGCCACCTATCAGTGTTCATCAGTGCAGCCTATCCATGCCCATCACTGCAGCCTCATTAGCGCACATCAGTGAATGCGAAAAATCACTTATTTACAAAATTGTATAACAAACACTAAGAAAAAACATTTTTTTTTCAAAATTTTCAGTGGTTTTTGGTTGGTTTAAGAAAAAATAAAAATCCCAGAGGTGATTAAATACCACAAAAAGAAAGCTCTGTCTAAAAAAAAAAAAGATAAAAATTTCATATAGGTACAGTGTCGCATGGCCGCGCAATTGTCAAAGTGTGACAGCGCTGAAAGCTGGAAATTGGCCTGGGAAGGAAGGGGGTATAAGTGCCCTGTAGGCAAGTGGTTAAACAAGCTGAGTTTAGAAGCTGATTGGTATCTAGGCAGAAGTGAGTCTGATTTTGCACACTCCAATTTTAGTAAATAAACCCCATTGCATTTTTCAAATTCTTCCTAATGTTGAGGACAATGTAAAAGCATCTGATTTATTACTAGCTTAGGGATTGTCCACTGCTTTGTCTTCAAAATCTATGGATTATTTTTGTTGGTTAATTTTTCTTGAATCCATAGTATAATTTCAGACCAGTTTTAAAAAACTTATTTTCATTAAAATTGCTAAAACAGCCTCTACCCTCTGAAAGTGAACACTTCAGGTGCCTTACTGTGAGTATCCACAAGATGGTGTCCTAATGTAAGAAATGAATAAACCTTCATGTGCCAGCAGGCAATGTAGATTGGTACATCTCCATTAACAAACAATTCTTCACTAGAGACAGATGGCACTAATAGCTTAAAATTTGAAAATAGGAAATATAGAAGTGTTCCTGGAAACTAACCTTTTGGCTAACTCAGTACAAGTAATATTTAAATACAATCTCCCTGCCATATAATTTGGACACAATTCTGGGCATAAATTCTACTGTTCATCTGAACTGTATGTATCACGCATTAAATGCACTCTGTAACTTGTGCTGTGCTAGTCACCTGTTTAACCTTCGCTCAATTGCCAAGATAAAGTATGTTTCAAGCAGGTATATTATCTGGCTGCCTTTGCTGATAGTTCGGGCATCTGCATATGTTGGTATTTATCCGATGCATGTGTGTGACAAGCACTTTGTTGTTGCTATAGAAAATGTCTTGGTACCTTGAGTCATATATTATATTGATTACTAAATTCTATTCTATTTAGACATCTCTAATGGTGAATAATTCAAGCAGTATTTCTGGTTTGTTACATTGGTCCTTTTCTGAATGATAACCTATATTATTTAATGGACTACAACATAATGTGTATGAACATCCTCTAGATGGCTATATAGTGCATAAATTGGAAGCATCTGCAGGTGTAACTACACCCAGACCTAGGAGGGTGAATGGCTTTTGGGGATGTCACCTGGTCTTCACTATTAATATTGGATCATATTATCTGGAATGGTAGTCTACTTCTTTCAAAAATGGCATAACACTACTTCTGAAATAGACAAAATATCTCAAATATAGCACAGAAGCATTAAATGTCATAACCCCTAAATGTACCTGCAATGTTTACCTATATATTTAAATAAATTGGCAAAATGGCAAAATCCATTGGAAACCCCAACTTACAGAAACATGAATGAAATCACCTGCTGCACATTTGAAAATATTAAACATCTTGCAGTTTTTTTGCAGTTATAAAGCTACCTGTTCTTAATGATGTACTGTATAAGGTAGAGTGCAGCTTCACTGTGAGTGATCTTGTTGCTTTAAAACTAGTATGCGGCCCATAAGTCAACAGAAAATTTCACCTTTAGCTTTGCTGTTATTTTGCTTTGGCAGATTATAATTTAAATATGTTTGGTCAAAGAAAGCACAACACAATTTAACAAGAAAAGAATATTTCAAAGTTCTTTAGTGATCCAAACACAAAAGGTTATTCCGAATAATAGTTATTTCATAAACACTTTTCTACATCATGAGTGTGCTTGTTTATATATATCATTTTGAGGGAACAATTGCAAACGCATTTGAAAATTAAAATTTTGATCAATCCATCACTTGACCAGACTAACTGGAGTGTCTTAACATTAGCTGCAACCACTGATTGCAATAAAGTTCAGCAAATTAAGAACTGTTCAAACAAATTGTGAGAATGGAAAAACAGAGCAACAAAGCCGAAGTCTGATTGAAAAGTGCTGCTTTACCTATGTAAAGGTCATGGTAAGGAAAACTATAAAGTAAATTGGGCAATGGTTTTGTGCTCTATAAAAAAAATTTAAGATCTTTTGGGATAGGATATTAGTTTTACATCTTTCTTTTCGTTGTTGCAATTTAAATACAGTGTGACAACCAATTTTTTTCATCCACGAACCTTAAGGTAGAAAAGTGAGATCTGTTTCTCTTGGCAGATTCTGTAGGATGACGATGATGATGCAGAAACTGGCCTAACAGAGGGAGAAGACAAAGAGGAGGAGGAAAAGGAAGAAGAGAAGCTTGGAAAGCTCCAGTTCTCCCTGGATTATGACTTTCAAAATAATCAGGTACCTACGCATCTTTTGTTATCTAATCAGTGCTGTCCAACTGACAGCCTGTAAGTAGCCCTTAGGATGGCCTTTTGTGGTCTTTGTTTCTACTAAGGCAGATTTAAACATCCTTGCAAATAACATTTGAAAATACATATTTTATAGTAAGTGGATTACAAGGGAGATTTGAGTACTTATAGGCTACCTTTATTGCATCTGGTAGAACTATGAATTATTTGTTTTTATTGCATTAATGTTTAAAACACATCCACTGAGCAGTTACCTGCATCAGTGTTGTTTGGCAGGATCCTCACTTTTTCATGCAGTTGGAGTGTTGTCTGCAATATCTATGTTCATATCCACAAAGTTAAATCCCACATCTAACCCTAACCCAAAATTTGCCAGTGAGGAGTCATCCTTCATCCACTGGAATTGCTAATCCTTTTTCTATTGTGAAAATGTATCCAGCAATCTCTGGCTAGAAAATGCCTTTTGATTTGCCTTATTCCCCCACTTGCTTTAACTTGTATTTTATGGAGCTAGATTCTGCTAGCTTTGTTTTGTTTTATTGAACTGTATCACTTGAAATGAACATGCAAGTTCAAAAAAGTTTATAATATCTAGCTTTGTTTTATTTGCAGATGCAAGTTGGTGTCATACAAGCTACAGAATTACCTGCACTGGACATGGGAGGAACATCAGATCCCTATGTGAAAATTTTCTTTTTACCAGACAAGAAAAAGAAGCATGAGACTAAAGTTCATCGGAAAACGTTGAATCCCATCTTCAATGAGACATTTACTTTTAAGGTTTGGTAAACGTTTAGCTACTCTTATAGATGCAGGGACAGTTTTGCTGTCTAAGATGCCATTGTTGCTGAGGGCGTAGTTTGGAGCAAAACGTTTCAACTATCCTGGATCCTGCAGAGTTGTCCCACAGGATCTTGGAAAAACTGCATAGTGGCAACAGGTGCCCTGTTTGTGCTAGAGTCAGTATAGTTATGTGTTGCTTAATCTTCTGCTTGCTTGATGATAATTTGCTAATATAGTAGTGTAAGTCTTGCAAAATTAGTGTGTGTTTGTGGATGAAGGCAAAACACGTAGCTGGCCTAAGGAATGGGGTTATTTGGATGCTATCCATGTCTCTCTGTTAGGGAAAAGTATGATCTTAAGTTGTCTGTACACATTAAGCAGTATGAATGGAGAGATCTCTCCTCCCCGCTTATTGTATTCTGACAGCCTGTACCCATGGCTACCAAAATATCCAAATACTACCTGTATCTCTTTGGATATAGTCCTTGTTAGGCTGCTAATTTTCCACTCAACTCCTTCAACTTGAAAAATGTACTTTTATTAAGTCGGGTGGTGCCAACAGGGCTTCCTGCGGAGTGAATTTTGGTTGGATCAAAAGGAATCAGACAAAATTCAATCTGAGTACAGTATGGCCAGCTTTAGTCTTGGGGCAGCAGAAATAATTGTATCACATTTCTTCTTGCTGTAAATACATGGCACTAGAGGGCTGTGGACAGTAGTGTAGTAGCAAGAACAAGAACATAATGTATCACTCCTACAAAGTGCTGCCTCAAATGAAGTTGCACTGTATAGGTATAAAATAAATTATGTTTCATTTTTGTTTCATTTAAGGAATAAACTTTGTAACAGCAGTGCATGTATTAAAACGTGATCAATTTTTAATGTTCTGACATTTTCAAAGCTCAATCAAACTATACAGAAGTAAAACATTGAAATCATGCACTGTGGATTGAAATGTATAAGAATTAGAAATGTATGCTGGTGGTAAAAAAAGGTTTCCATAATATTTTATATATTGCTCTAGATTCCATATCAGGAGCTTGGTGGAAAAACCCTGGTTATGGCCATATATGACTTTGATCGCTTCTCTAAACATGACATCATTGGAGAGGTGAAAGTCCCCATGAATACAGTAGACCTTGGTCAACCAATTGAAGAATGGAGAGACCTACAGAGTGCAGAAAAGGAAGAGGTGAGTTACAGCAATTGGACCCCAAACATTTTGGGAGCAATGTGTCTCTTCAGTCTAATTCAACTTTGCATATAGATAAAAATTATTTGCAGTTTATGAAGTTATTTGTTAGTCTGCCATTGCATTGTATTCCCATATTCAAGTGTAGCATACAAAAAACTAAAACATGTACCTAGAAAATGGAAACCTGCGTTACCAGAGCTGAGCAGCATATTGCCAAAGAAATTAATACTAATAGACCAAAAGAACTGACAGATTATCAACCAAAACAATTGGTAAATTGCTTTAAATGGCAGGCAGAATTTTGGGTGTGTCTTAAAGCCAATCTCCATGTTCTAGTCAACTTCAAATCGTTCGTTTGGACCAAACCGCTCTACCTAATCCAGTCAGAGGAAGTTTTATATTCATCTTTCTGGCTGGCTGAGCAGCTCTCCGTCCAACTCAATTTTGTTCCAGAACACCATGCTCTATGTACAGTCAGGTCCATAAATATTGGGGCATCGACACAATTCTAACATTTTCGTCTCTATACACCACCACAATGGATTTGAAATTAAACGAACAAGATGTGCTTTAACTGCAGACTGTCAGCTTTAATTTGAGGGTATTTACATCCAAATCAGGTGAACGGTGTAGGAATTACAACAGTTTGCATATGTGCTTCCCACTTGTTAAGGGACCAAAAGTAATGGGACAATTGGCTTTTCAGCTGTTCCATGGCCAGGTGTGTGGTGTTCCCTCATCCCAATTACAATGAGCAGATAAAAGGTCCAGAGTTCATTTCAAGTGTGCTATTTGCATTTGGAATCTGTTGCTGTCAACTCTCAAGATGAGATCCAAAGAGCTGTCACTATCAGTGAAGCAAGCCATCATTAGGCTAAAAAAACAAAACAAGCCCATCCGAGAGATAGCAGAAACATTAGGCGTGGCCAAAACAACTGTTTGGAACATTCTTAAAAAGAAGGAACGGACTGGTGAGCTCAGCAACACCAAAAGACCCGGAAGACCACAGAAAACAACTGTGGTGGATAACCAAAGAATTATTTCCCTGTTGAAGAAAACACCCTTCACAACAGTTGGCCAGATCAAGAACACTCTCCAGGAGGTAGGTGTATGTGTGTCAGTCAACAATCAAGAGAAGACTTCACCAGAGTAAATACAGAGGGTTCACCACAAGATGTAAACCATTGGTGAGCCTCAAAAACAGGAAGGCCAGATTAGAGTTTGCCAAACGACATCTAAAAAAGCCTTCACAGTTCTGGAACAACATCCTATGGACAGATGAGACCAAGATCAACTTGTACCAGAGTGATGGGAAGAGAAGAGTATGGAGAAGGAAAGGAACTGCTTATGATCCTAAGCATACCACCTCATCAGTGAAGCATGGTGGTGGTAGTGTCATGGCGTGGGCATGTATGGCTGCCAATGGAACTGGTTCTCTTGTATTTATTGATGATGTGACTGCTGACAAAAGCAGCAGGAGGAATTCTGAAGTGTTTCGGGCAATATTATCTGCTCATATTCAGTCAAATGCTTCAGAACTCATTGGACGCTGCTTCACAGTGCAGATGGACAATGACCTAAAGCATACTGCAAAAGCAACCAAGGAGTTTTTTAAGGGAAAGAAGTGGAATGTTATGCAATGGCCAAGTCAATCACCTGACCTGAATCCGAATGAGCATGCATTTCACTTGCTGAAGACAAAACTGAAGGGAAAATGCCCCAAGAACAAGCAGGAACTGAAGACAGTTGCAGTACAGGCCTGGCAGAGCATCACCAGGGATGAAACCCAGCGTCTGGTGATGTCTATGCATTCCAGACTTCAGGCTGTAATTGACTGCAAAGGATTTGCAACCAAGTATTAAAAAGTGAAAGTTTGATTTATGAATATTATTCTGTCCCATTACATTTGGTCCCTTAACAAGTGGGAGGCACATATGCAAACTGTTGTAATTCCTACACCGTTCACCTGATTTGGATGTAAACACCCTCAAGTTAAAGCTGACAGTCTGCAGTTAAAGCACATCTTGTTCATTTAATTTCAAATCCATTGTGGTGGTGTATAGAGTCAAAAATGTTAGAATTGTGTCGATGTTCCAATATTTATGGACCTGACTGTAGCTAAACTAGAGGTCTACTTTAAGTCTTGCAACAAATTCAAAAGTAATTGGTGCCCCTAAAGTGTCACTAAACACACATCATAAAAAAAACTTTCAATAAGTGCTGTATTACATGCTGTCCATTCTCACTCAAGTCACTATGAGATTCGTTTTCTGTAATCTGCAAAAAAACCTGGTTGATACTTCTGCTCTCTATCTCCATCTTTTGTTCATGTCCCCAATTTAGCTATGGATTTTGCAGCTGTAGAGGCAACTCTGCAAATGCGTTTTCAGTGAGTTTCTATGCTGAGCATTTCCTCATCACATCTGAGCAGCCCATGCGATTATAGACTCACGTATGTGGGCGTATACACAGTGATAAATGACAGCCCACTCCCTCTCTCCTCCTCCATGCTCACTAACCAGCTAAACACAATGGGGGTGGGATATTACTTGTGGAGGAGGAATCGCTTCTCTTTTGTTCTAGAACACAGCCCCTCCAGTCTCAAAAAGCCAATTTACTCAATGTGGAGGATTAACCCCTTAGATTCCACAGTGAGTAAAACAACCATGCTTTACTGCATATACAGACTGATTTTACTGTTGTGGGTTTGGTAACACTAAGGCTGAATTGCAGATTCATATTATTGTACTGCGTTGATAAAAATTTTGCATGTACCTTTTTTGTGTGTTTTTGTGCTGGGATGCCTTAATGCAACAGCTGTCACCCAGATTTAAGAAGGCCCTCAAAGACATGGTAGGCTGGTTGAAGAAATGCCAATGAGTTTTTACCCAGATGTGGCCCTGAGCATTGAAGGAATTATCTTTTTGTCTATTGCCCTTAACAAAATTAAATTAATTTTAGTGCAATACAATGTAATACCGATTTTGTTGGAAAATGTAAAAGATGAGGTTGCGCTGAGTAAATAGACACCAAACATGTAAAGTCTTAAACTTGCATGCTCCCGTGATATTGGGGGGGGGGGGGGGGGGGGGGGGGGGGGGGGGACTCTGTTACCTAAAATCCACCCATAGTTCATCAGTTTAGAGTTAACTGTGAGCTCTGCTGCTAAAATTCTTGCTCACTCCAACATTTCTGGTGATACCTCATGTGTGGTGCAGGACATACATTTTTAAGTTTTTAACTTTTTTTTTATATTTACACACGTGTGCATCCTCTGTGTGCATTTGTGTCTGATTGTGTGCAGGGCAACGGGTTATGTTTAGGTTTTTTTTTTTATAATTTTGCTTTTTTACTTTTTAAAATTTTCTTCTCATTTAACTCCATTGCTATTACAAGGGGTTAACAAAACCCCATGTGATAGCATTTGGCAGATGACAGTTACTCCTTATGGAAACTAGGAGACCATGCTGCCTGCTATACCGCTGTTGGGTAACTTTCACTTTACAGCCGGAAGTCGACTGAGGAATGGGGCACAAGCTGATGGCTGCTACAGGAGGATAATCTCTTGTGTATAGTCCTAGTAGACAAAAGGTTAGAGGCCCTCTTCGAAGCTCTCTTCCTTGGTGAGTCCTGCCATGCAGCCTGCGATTGCTTTTTATAGCAGTTTTCCAAACTACTGCTATCTTGATTAAATGTATGGCATTCTAATGGAAGCCTCAGTCCATTGAAGCCATGGCATCCTAAAGGAATTCTCAGTCAATGGATGCATCAGTCCAAGCCCAGTTACTTTTTGATTACTACCATAAAGGAGAACTTCACCTAAAAGGGGATTGGCACCTTTGGGGAGTGGGTATGCAAATTTGACAGGCACCAGCTCCCACTTCCGCTGCAATCGCCTAAGGCGATCGCAAGCAGAATTTGTCCTCCCCCCTCCCTCCCCATAGTCTTCTGGGACACGTGACAGGTTCCAGAAGATTACAGGGCCATTCACAAAGCACAGCGCTTCACGCATGTGCAGTGGGCACCCGACTGTGAAGCCGCAAGCTGTCCGAGCTGGGTGCCCACACTGAAGATGCCGGGAAGAGAAGACGGCCAGTGAAACCAGCCGTAGTGAGGACAACACAGGACCAAGTGACAGGTAAGTGTCTGTATTTTAAAAGTCAGCAGCTACAGTTTTTGTGGTGCTGCTGACTTTTATTTATTTATTTATTTTTTTCCAGCTGGAACTACGCTTTAGGCTACTGTGTGAATGGCTTGATGGATACAGTTTGTCAGATCTTGAAAATGAACTTTCTCTCCATCCTCATGCACAGGATTCTTTGGCTTAAATGCTGGTCAGCTAAGCTTCCTTATTAGAAGGACCTTGCGTGGTTGAGATGCCTGGGTCTAAACGTGTCCTTTTCAGGGACTACAAATTGGAGCCTCGTACTGTTTCTCCCTGCCTTATCTTTTCAAACTTGTCTCCTTCTCTGTCACTTTTTCTGTCTGCTCTTATTCCCAGGTCCTTTTGGGCCCAATTGAAGCCTTTACTTTGTGCCTTTGCATTGGTATCTTGGGTCCAATCATTACCCCTTACTAGCTGTGCCGTATGGCCGGTTTCATTCCTGACTATTGTAACTCAACATTTTGGAAGAGTGATGCAAACGGGTCCACCAAAAGCATCTGACTCCCAAGGCCAGACTGTCCTGAATGTGGTGGATTTCCTTTCTAGCCCTAGAGTCAGAGAACCCATTCAAAAACATCGAAGGCTCTCATGACTAATGCCACCCTATTGGGCTAAAGAGCAGTCCTGGTTGTACCCTTTTTTCAGGGGGGCTTGGTATTTGAAGGAAGTCTGCCTTCCCATCAGCTTTCTGGAGCTCTTCAACCTAGACATCTTTTTCATCATACCACTCAAAGGGAAGCAGGCTTGATCCTCCCTTGAGCAGAACTGCACTTTCTAGTCCTGTGTTATCCACTTAGCAGGTGAAATTTGGCAGGTGGACTTTCTTAGCCATCAGCATCTGGTGGATTGACGCCCCACCAGGAGGTATTTTAAGCCTGTTGCCACATATAGAGATACCTGATATAGCTCTGCAGATTTAACAACAAACTGGACAGCTTTATTCTGAAGTCCAAGAACCCGTGAGCATTTGCAGTGGATGCTCTGGTGACGACATGGAACTAGTTCAACCTGGTCTACTCCTTTCCATCATTCCAGGCTTCCCCTCCCCTGCTCTGCAGGATCAAGATAAAGAGTATTCAGATGATTCTCATTGCACCGAATTGGCCCAGGAATATCTTATATAAAAGTGCAGCACTCTCTAAAGTGAATGAAAGTGAAAACAATTGTGATTGCTAATTAGTGCTACCACCTGATTGACTTTGGTACAGCCAGCCTGTCAGATTTTTTACATTCAATTACTGCCAGTGGCTATAGCCGCTATCAGTAATCATTGTGTTCTGCCACCCTTAGTGGATGGACAGAAAATCGAATCATCTATAGGTTGCCTTAGTCTAGAGAGAAGTCTAGAGTTCGTGTGCACTCCAATATAAAGGGAAGATTAGCCATTCATATCAGTGAACATATCACCAAAACACAGCTGGAGATCTGGCACAGTTATGCATAGTAAACAATCAACTTTGAGGGCTGGTTCACGTCAAATGCAGTACTTTTTTTTTCTGCATCAAAAATGCATGCACAGTGTTTTCCATGTATTCCAATGGTCCTAGTTCACACCAGTGCAGTCCGTTCCAGTGCATTCCGGTGCATAATAAAATTAGAACATGCTATGAAATAGGGTCTGGTGTGAACTAAAGTTAGAAGCTGATTGGTTACTATGAACAGCTGCACCAGTTTATCTAACCACTTTAAAGATCCTAGGGGGTCTTGTTTTTTATGGTATAACCAGAGTTGTACATCATTGGAGAGGATCAGAACTAAAAAAGGCTATTTCTAGAAATGTGACCCCTTTGGATTTTTGAGCTGGGGACACTGAATCTAGGAGTTTGAAATATCAATCTCAGTTGTTTTATTACTAATTATTAAAGTCCAGCCTTGTATGTGTTTTTTGTTTTTTTTTTTAAATCTGATCTTAAATTCTATTCATTATATCTAAGATTTTGTTTAGTATATTATTTATACCCCCAAGTATGATGTTTAGATTAAGATATAAGATATGTATCACAGTGTGAGGGGAATATGATAAAACACAAGTAGATGACACCACACATATTGAATATAGTGTAAAGTCTTTGTACAAGGTATTTATCTATCAATTTGGTGTGGTGAATTTAAAGCGTGGACGATATGGCAGCTCCCTAACTCCCAGTCGGGATGGACTTCAGCTCTTCATGTCACTTCCACCTGTACAGCAGGTGGAGCTGTGTTTCTAACGGATATAAGACTGATCATTCTGGGCGTCAAGTGGGCACTGTTAAATATAAGCGCAATATTTTTTAAGCGTTTACGTATACTTTTAATTAACATCGATAAACGGTGAGAGTAAGACTGGTCTTTCTGTGAGAGTGCAATATGTATAATATTAATACATGCTAGTAAACGATGAGCGTTCTTCCTGTTTATGTATTATGTTTATTGTAGAGAAGAGCATCTGGAGAATTTTCTTAGCTTATCAGCAAATCACATAGTGAACCTGCTGACAATATACAGTCATGGCCAAAATTGACACCCCTGCATTTCTGTCAGATTTTGCACCACTTCCACAAAAATGTTGCAATTACACATTTAGGCATTCTGATATTTATTTCTTTTGTTTGTATTGGTATGACACAAAAAAAAGGAGAAACCGAGCCAAATCTGACATATTCCACGCAAAACTCCAAAAATGGACTGGACAAATTAATTGGCACCTTCTCAAAATTGTAAGAAATAATTGCATTCCAAGTTTGTGATGCTTCTGTAATTCATAATAAAACTCATCTGTATCAGTTAACAGGTGCTGATAATCTAGAAATCACATCAACCAGTTAAAATAGTAAAAAATGTATTCAACCTTTTTGTTATGTGTATCTCAGTAGTATGGACATTTTTTAATAAACTACTTGTCCAGGAACTCAATCGGTGTCCCAATCTACTTGTCCCTGATGACAATCTACTAGTCCTGCTAAAAACACATATATTTAACCAAAACCGTATTTAAATCCTACTTTAAGTAATGTTTTGGGCTTTTAAAAACAAAAGGGGCTTTATGGCAATTTTAAATGTTTAATATTTTTCACATTGCTCTGTTTATCTCCTGCTCCCCTCCCTGCCTGTCTCCAGCCCCGCCCCCGGGACTAGCAGGGAGAGGAGAGAACTTGCAGTGTAATGAGTACCGATTGGCTGCTCGTCAGGAAAGGGGCATGTTGGACTTATCCTCTATCCATTTCACTGACAAAGCTGTTTTTGCATTGCACACATTTAAAAAATAGTTTTAGGCCTGAAGATTACACAAACTCCCCCAAACATTATAGATTTTCTGAAATCAGAGATCCTAGAGGATAAAATAGCTGTAATTCCAATTTTTTATGTCACACGAAAATATCACAAAGGTTTCAGTAAAAAATACACTGGAGTTAATTTTAGGGCACAAAAAGCAATACATTATCCAATTTTTTTTGTAAAATATAAAATACGAGGTTGCAGCGAGTAAACATATATCCAACATGTCAAGCCTTAAATTTGCGTGCGCTTGTGAAATGGCGACAAACTTTAGTAACGCTATATTTTCTATAGGCAACACGTTTAAAGGTCATCAGTATAGTGTTACAGAGGAGGACTGGTGTTAGAATTATTGCTCTCATTCTGGCGTGCACGACGATATGTAACGTGTATTGCAATTGACATTAGTGTAGTGTAGGCACCCGAGCATGTGCTTTTACGTTTGTGCATGCGTACATATGTGGGGGTGGGGGGGCCTTGAAAAATTTGGGGGTGTTATATGCCTGGGTGTAACTTCCATTTAAAAAAATTTAATTAACCTTTTTTTTTTTTTTTTTTTTTTTTTGAAATCGCATAGGGGACAAAAAGTCCCCTATGTGATGATTTTTGGTGACAGGTTTTTTTTTTAGTTTTTTTTTTTTTGAGACATCCAGGGTCTAATAGACCCTGCATGTCTCCCCTGTATTACACTTAATGTAATGCTGCGCACATTGTACCGCATTACATTCTTTCCCGGCTTCAATGACCGGTAATCTGTCAAACGGGGACCCGGAAGTGACATCACATCACCTCCGGGTCATTAGAAGCAGGGGAGCGGAGTGGATGTGTCCGCTCTCCTCCTCCCTCCCCTATACCACATCCCATGGCGCCCACTGAACCAGTCTCGGACCCGCAGATGGGCAAGTGGAGCCCGGGACATATAGCGGGGGCTTCCCCTTCCCCTCTAGCCGGCGGTGAGCCGGGCCCGCAGATGGGCAAGCGGAGCCCGGGAAACCTCACGCCAGGGCCGCAGAGAGGCTGGCACTGTGTGAAAGCAATCGGCAGCAACCCTGATAGGTGAGCCCGCTGTTTGCCAGCAGCAGGGCTAAAGGCCAAAAAACCTACCTGACCGGCACCCGGAACTACATGTCCCGAGCGTCGAGCGATAGGAATTGTACATCCCTGGTCTCTGTGTGCCACATGAAGAGAAAGATCAGCAAAGAATTGAGGATTTTAGAACAAAAAGATGTGGAAAAGCATGAACAATCTCAAGGTTGTCCATCTCCAGAGATCTTAATGTTCCTGTGTCTACTGTGCGTAACATTGCCAATTAGTTTACAGCCCATGGCACTGTAGCTAATCTCCCTGGACGTGGATTAAAGAGAAAACTTGATCAAAGATTGCTACAAAGGATTGTTCGAATGGTGGCTAAAGAACCTCGATCAGCTTCCAGACAAATTTAAGCTGACCTTCAGGCACAGGTTACAACTGTGGCAGTAAAATAATGAAAAAATTGCCACCCAAGTAGGTGGATCAGCCTATTTAACTCTCTGACAGCCGTGAGAACAGACTGTGGAAAAAAGACGGCTCTAAATAAACCCAAGCAGAGTAGTATTACAACTTAATACAAAATCCTTTATTGCAAATCTTATACAAAAAAGTAAACCTTGCAAGGTAATCAAAAAAAAACACAACAGTAAATTTAAAATAAGCAGTCCGGACTGCAATGTCAACAGGTCGTCAGTAACATCAATTAAAGCAGCCCGTGGCAACACAGTTGATCAACCGAATGCCACTGATGCGTATAAGCCTATTAAGGAGAGTGGAAACAAAACAACAAAGTGCTGTGTATAAGATAGATGTGGAGAGGGCAGAAATGGTCATCGATATCATAAGTAGTGCAAATCAGTGTCCTTAATCATAAATAATCATATGGGTTTAAGTTACAAGTTCCAATGACCTTGGAGTGGAGCATTCTCAGCGTTATGTAATTAATCCGAAGAACACTGTAGAGTTATCCACAGATGTCTATACAAGCCGCACCCCAAATCTGCAAAAGTAATGCAGGAAGTACGTTTCAAATTGGTGCGTCTCTGAAAAAAGTCAGGGAATGGTTCCATTGGCAGCCATTGGATGCGATTTAACATGCAGTTTGAATGGTCAAATCGCATGACAAGTCGCATCAGTGTGAACCAGTGACTCAACCAAAAACTACTTTGTAAGGAATGTTAAAAGCCAGCTTTCTAAATTAACAGTATGTTTTAAAACAAAACCAAAATAAATCACACAACTGTGGAGGACAAAACAAGAAAATGTTTACTCCTCTCCTTCCACTATTTTTTTCAGCCTGAGAAACTGGGTGATATCTGCATTTCCTTACGATATGTTCCAACAGCTGGGAAACTGACAGTCTGCATCTTGGAAGCCAAGAATCTCAAGAAGATGGATGTGGGTGGTTTGTCAGGTAAGCAATTACTTCAGCGTATATATATTCAAATTCATACCAGTAACTTTGTAGCAATTACAGATCTCTGACTGCTTATTGTGGAGTTTTGTTGCTTTTTTAGATGGCTGCAGTACTTCTCTATACAGCTACACACTGGATTACATGCATTCACATGTATTGCATGCAGCTGACCGAGATCTTTCAATGATTGCAATTCAGTTTTCTTAATCCTACATTACAGGTCACAGAAGTCAATTCTTACCATTGAATTATATCCCACCTCAAGGTAATTGGACAATGGCAAATAGCCAAAATGAAGTCCTTTCAGCATTGCCTCAGTATTTTGATAGCATCTGTAGGTGATGGGCCTATCTTTCTCTGCCAAGAGAGGTCTTCTGCTTTGAACAGATTTCTATTTGACTTGCTTTCTGCTGCCGAGTCCTGGTGCTCAATAGCAGTGTCAGTTGTCCCGATTGACACTTTTGGATATTTAAATCCCTGTGAGACATTACCTGGACCCCAGTGGAAGAATGGAACGGCTTGCAAGCTGCATTGGAAGATAGTTGCATCTGTATGTTAGCTGGTGGGTTTCTTTACAGGTCCACTGCATCAGAGCCCAGTTCTTGGAGACTTCAAAGGGTATGCATATTCTGGAGAAAGTGAAGATTGAGCCTTTTTGTGGGAGAATTCCCCTGTGTTTTCTCCCCAACGTTGGGGCAGTTCATCAGACTAATGGAGGATCCACGAGTCCTGGCTAGTACAGCATTACTAGAGGTTACTGTGGGTGTACTTGTTGGGACAGGGCACACATATGCCACCCTGTTTGATGCATTAAAAAGCTGATATTTGTTCTACAAAGCAGGAGCGGCCCAATGATGCTAATATATAGGAATGACCCTGCCCCATTGTGCTACTGCGCAGGTTTGGCTGGGAGACTGCACTGGCCATGTGCAGATGCCATCTTGGAATCACCCATTTCTTCATTTCTTATTGAGAACAGCAGCTGAGAAGGACTTGTATTTCAGCGTTCCTACAGCACAGTTTGCAGCATGACTGGGGACCCTGAAGCCTTTAGGTGGTGGGACACTGGGAAGCTACCCTTCCCCCCGTTATTGGTGCTCTTACTCAGAATTGTGAGTATTGCTCACCCTTGTTTGTTTGACAGGAATGGAGGATCTGGTATCAGGGAAGGATCAGGACCAGGTGGACTACAGTGCCTTGCTGCAGGAGGCAGTCTTCAATTCACAATTTGTCTTATGGGGCAGCAAACTGGTTCTTGCTCCTAGACAACATCTGGCTTCATACTAATGCCATCTTCGCAAGGGCGCCATCTTCTGGGACCTTCGTATCCAAGGATAAATTTTCAGCAGCTTCTCCAAGGTGGACTGGGCTTAAGTGTTCATGCAACATGGAAGAAAGTTTCTGCAAAAAGTGAAGCCGTTACTGTTGTGGACCCTGTGGTGTGTTACTTAAATATAACCCTTACAGCACCCGTGGGCAATGTACAGGTGTTCAGGGACCTACAGACAAAAAGTTTAAAGTGGAACTAAATCCTCTCAATCAACATTACCTATTTTTAACCCTTAAGCTGCTAACATTAGGAAATTAATAGGAAGGTATGCCATATTTACTGGTACAGTTGCTTTCTGGTTTCTGACCTGGGCCAAAGTTATGTGTCACATCCTATGAGTCTGTTTATTTTTGTTTTTTTTCACCTTAGCCTTCTCAGCTAAGCACACCGCCTGTCTTCATGCCTGAGCTAAGGGTAGTTGAATTCCACCAATTGCTACATCAATCTTCTGCCTTTTACTCAAGATGGCCTCAGCTAGAAATGTAAGGGGGTGTTTTTCAAAGTGATTTCTTAACAGAATAAAGCGTGTTTTCAGTTTGTGGTACTCAGATACAGTTTAGTTCCTCTTTAAATACCTTTTTAAGGCTTTCTTTTCCTTCACCAGTGCGTCCAGGTAACCCACCATTGCTTCCATGGGAGTTTGTCAAGCTTTGCTGGTATGGGCAAAGTGTATGTCAGATGAAGTTGGAACCTTCAGTTTGGTTCGTTGGCTAGGAAGCACTGGGAGCTCTTCCCTGAAGCGTTGCACTTCTGCATAGATCAGGGGTGGCCAACCTGCGGCTCTCCAGCTGCTGCAGGACTACAAGTTCCATCATGCCTCTGCAAGTCAGTAACTTCCCATCTTTGCAATGCCTCTTGGGAAATGTAGTTCCACAACAGCTGGAGAGCCACAGGTTAGCCACCCCTGGCATAGATGATTTGGAAGAGTTTCTCCAGCAACTCTCACCTGGGGTATATTTCAATACACATGAGGTGTGTGCTGTTGCTTAAAGGTTGGTCAGCAGAGCTATCCTGCAAGAAGCAGTTAAAATGTTAAAAACGTTTGCCTTTCAAAGGTGAACACTTCTTTAGCAAAGCTCAGGATATGTTTATCCAAAAAAAAAAAATCAAAGAAAGAGCATCCTCTTACCCCTAGAGAAACAACAGAAGCCTCCAGAACAGAAGTCCTCTTTATCTGGAACAAAGAGGAGTTCCTTTTTTTTCTTTTCACAATTCTGGGGTTAAACAGAAAAAACTTTCCATCAGAAAAAGTCCTGAATCTTGCCAAGATCGGCATCATCTTCCCAATGAAGGGGCTGGGTAAAGGCACATGGTAGACTTTGCAGCCATATAATCACAAGTTATCTACAGTGTATGGGTCTAGAAGGTTGTGTCCAGGGGCTACAAGCTGGAGTTGTGTTTTTCCTTCACACCATCAATGTGCTTATTGTACCTGTTTCAGAACCAGAAAGGTTTCACTATTACAGATCAAACCTGTTCAAACTGCCAAAGCCAAATGGCAGTGTGTGGCCCATTCTGCACTTGCAGTGTTTGAACAGGTTCTTACAAGTTCATGAGTTCCATATCGAATCTGTACAATCAGCAGTTGCTTACCTCTGGGAGATTTCCAGGCCTGGGCATCAAGCTTTTTGGCCTAGCCATGACATCGCAAGTTTTCACAAAGATGCTGTCCCCAGTGTATTTTCTTTTGTGAGCCAGGGGATCCCTATTCTTGGGTATCTGGACAGTCTTCTCCTGCAGGAGCAATAAAGAGATGGCCTCAGGACAGATGCACAGTAGATGAAAGTTATCCCTGGAGCCATCACATTGATATATGCGGGCCTTAGCCTGGGCATGGCCCTGCCTTTTTTTTTCTTCCCTGGAACACTTTGGGCACTGATATAATTTCATATTTTGATTGCCTAATTTTTCACATAATTTTGTTTTTTGATGCACAAGTGTTAGAGATGTGATTATTGCATGTTTTATGTTTTCACAGGGTTAGTGTATTTTTCAATCTTTAGCAATGCTCATTTTTAAGTATTTGATTCACATATTGTTTTCTGTGGGTGAATTATCAGAGTGCGAGCTTCCTGACATTTTGTTTACACACACACACATCATATTTTTTTTTGTTTTTTGCACAGCGAAAGTTTTTGATTATTTGGAGTAGATGCCCTTAATCAATCCGTCGAATCTGTTCAGCCTGACTTGTGCATTTCCCCCTCTCAACCTCGGCTTCGGAAGATAGAGAGGGAAGATATTCTGTTGATTCTCACTGCACCGAATTGTCCCAAGAGGGTGTGGTTCTCAGACTTCCCTCCATCCCTTAGGAAGTCATGTGACCAGTGATGCAATGCATTGGCCAGTGCCTAGTGGTGTTACTTCTGGTAATGCACAAACTGGTGAGAGTGCGGTGAGAGGAACCACCTTTGACATTGGATTTTTATGCCTTTTATCTGTGCACTTTTGTGAGTAAATTTTGTTATAATAAAGCAGAATTCTATATGGGGTTGCACTATAATTTGTCTTAGTTTCCCTTGAGCATATACCATCCTAGTGGGAACTAGCAGTGGATGAGCAGAGATTGACCAACTTTTAAAGTGCCTATTTTCAATATAGGTCAAGGAAGAAGGTGAGTGCATGGTACATGTATTAATGACAGGAAGCACTATGGATAATTGTACACGTTAGTGTGAATACTGAAACACTTTGTTGTGGAGCACGTTGTGTCTATTCAATGTGAGTGCATACGTTTATTTCACTTAGTGTGTAGTTTATTGAAACAGTGTTGCACTACGGAATATATTTTGTTTTTATGCACGGTTGGAGCCATAACTGAGTGAAGATTTATTTGGAGGGAGTAAAGCACGGATTTATTGCAATATGAAGGATATACATTCCAACAAATGCATTTGACCTAATATAATATCTAGGTCAAATCTTAAGGTGAGCAGGGAGTGTGTCCTTAATACAAGCATGTTTGGAAAGTGAATGATGTTATTGGGACAATTTGAATTTGGGATTGGATCACTACTTTTCACAGTTGATTTATTTTTCACTGATGTGTATTGTTTATTTTTGTTTTCTTGAGTTTTATATACTTTTGATGAGTTATGTACTGCTACATGTAATTTTATGAAAAAAAAAGGTTCTCAGACATTTTTAGACTCTTAGCAGACTCTCCTTGGGTCCTACCCAGACCATCTGGACCTTCTTTCCCAAAATTCCATGCATGTTTCACAGTCTCTAGCATTGATGGCTGGGTTGTAGAAACCCAAATCCTGAGGCATGGGGGCCTTGCTGACTCTATGATTCCCACGTTGCTGAAGAACAGAAAAACCTCTATATGGAAAGCATACTTTGCTGGGTGCAAAAAAGGAAAGCTTCATTCCAGGAAATAGTCTGTGGCATAGGTGTTATCCTTCCTTCAGTCAGGACTTGACAAGGTCTGAGGACTATGAAAGGTCAGCTTTCTGCCTTGGTGGTGTCTTCAGAGACTGACTTTTTCTTCCGAGCCTTTTTACAAGTGATGGCTCATATTGTTCCACCAGTATGATTGTCAGTCCTTCAGAGACCACCGTTTAAATTAATGTGGTGTATTTCTTTCACTCACCTATCACACAGGGTTGCATTTCTCATAGCAATCACATCAGTATGAGGGATGTCCAAGCTTGCAGCTTCGTTCTGTTAGGAGCCTTTTCTTGTGTTTCACAAGCACAAGGTGGTGTTGAGTCCACATAGTTTCTTCCTGCCTAAAATAATTTCTGTGTTTCATTTCAAATCCAGACATAGTATTGCATTCCTTTTGTCCAGCTTTAAAAAATCCTAAAATGATTGCTCTCCATGGTTTGGATGTGGTCAAGGCTGTGTGAGTCTACCCCACAGCCACAGCCTCATCTCATCAATCTGATGCCCTAATCATGTTGGCTAAAGGCTCTCAGAAAGACACTGTCTCCCGATCCACAATTGCTAGGTGGCAAATCATTACTCAGAAGTACTTGAAGGTAGGGTGCCTCCATTTCCTGTGAAGGACGACTTTACCAGAAGTGTTGGTGCTTCCTGGACTTTTCAACATCAGACCTTTAGTTTCACAGGCTAGCAAAGTGGCCACCTCTGATCATACTTTTGCAAAGTTTTACCAGGGTGATGTTCAGGCTACAGCAGATGAGTCTTGGTCAGAAAGTCTGCCATGCGGCCCTGTGAGTGCCAGTCAGTTGTTCTTCTTGTTATGTTAAGTGGATAGTTAGTAATGGGCCTGTTAGCCACTGTTTTCTGTTGCTTGTCCCTCATGGGAATGCTTTTGGATGTCCGTGATCTAAAAAGTAATTATCCTAAATGCTGTGATGTACGAATAAGTATACAGAATTTTTTACTTATCTGTAAAATTCCTTTCTTGCAGTATTTCACAGGGCACAGATCCCTACCATTTGGTTTCATTCTGATATTAATTGCTGATAAAACAAATAAATTGGGTGAAACATAACCCAATTATTTAATAATTAACTCTCCTGTGTCCTTTGATGTACTGTACTCCAAGGAAGGTGAGTAATTCTGTAGTGGTTATTTTGGTCACAGGACCTTGATGCTTGGTTTTGCAAACTTCTCATAATCACTGCAATCAGTTCCATACTGCAATCTGTATTTTCTCTTTTTTTTTTTTTTTTAAAACTGTGTTATTGTGAGTTTTACATGTTTTATTTGTAAAATTGTGTGTATCGTTTGTGTATAAGACTTTGTTTGAAGGTTGTGTATTATTACATGGAAAACAGTTTCTGGCCTTTGGTGGCTTCTAGTGACTGAGCTCAACCTTTTGTCAGCTTCTAATTTCTGGTAGATGAAGTTTTTATCCAGCAGCTGGCAGCCCTCGACACTTACTGGCTTCCTTTGGATTAGTACTTAACACGAGGCTGACCAGGGAGGAAGCATCTGCTGTCAGTTTTTTCCTGAGACAGTATTGGTATTGTAGTGGTTTTGCTGTTGAGTTTGCTTTCTCACATAGTAACATGAAAGCAGTTCATGTGGCAGACTTCAGAAAGGAACACATTTTCCTTATGAGGATTTGACAATGAAAGACTTATTATATTGCACTCTTGTCCTATGCTTTCTTTACATCAGCCATGCTACGATCTATAGTTTTTGTGTACCGTGTTATTTTTGCTCATAATTGCTTTCTTATTTTTAGATCCTTATGTAAAAATCCATTTGATGCAGAATGGAAAACGTCTCAAAAAGAAGAAAACAACAGTGAAGAAAAAGACACTGAATCCATATTTCAATGAGTCTTTCAGTTTTGAGATTCCATTTGAGCAGATACAGGTATTATGTCCAAAAAAGAAACAAAGCTATGCACATAGTGAATAAATGAAAAAAGCTGCTGGAAAGACAATCAGGTCAATTGTATACAAATATTATAAATAAATTGCCGTGCTCAAATGTTGCAACTAAGGCAACTATATAAGTGATAATATAAATAAGTCCAAATGTGAAAATAGTCCCAGTATTTTGAACCATGCAGTAGATCACCATTTGTCTTCAGTATGATTAGTGCTCCACCACCAGAAAATGGTGGGACTCTTACCAGAATATATGGACCCTTATACAAGAGTCACAAACGCATGAGATTATATACACCAAATCCCTCAGAATTGGAGGAAGTTAGATCTTGGTACTGGATGGAAATATCGCCTTCAATTCCTCTCCATTATTAATCTCACGATTAAACCTCTCAGTATGACCATGCAGAGAAAGACAAAGGGGCGACCATTGCATAAAACCATAAAACGCGTTTATTGATATATAGTATTGCACTCACATTCAGATAAGTAGATCAGCGCTGTGTACAGAGTATTCTCATATCCCAGGAACAGGTACGCTTCCTGGTGTTAAAAAGCAGCATGTAGACGTCCAATGCGCAAGCTTCTCCAACGTGTTTCATCACATATGACATAGTCTGTGGTGTGGAAACTATTTGCAACCGTCACCGCTGCTTTTTATAGCCATCCAGAGAGGGAATGGGCCCCCTTAGATAAAGTAAAGATGGACGCCGTGACACTGTACCTCGATATGGTTTTAAAAATGGCCGCTGCTTGGCTAAACCAAGCCTCGGTCTAGATGTCATAATGAATCTAATTCCACCAAGCCTCAGTCTGGGGATCACCAGACCTCAATGTAAACTTAAATGGCTGCCGCTTGGCTGAACAAAGCCTCGGTCTGGATGTCACAATAAATATAATACCACCAAACCTCAGTCTGGGGATCAGACTCCAACATGGCTGCCATCATTATTTGTCTTATGTGGAATGGATAATGAATTATGTCTCTTCCACAGTGATTAATCAATATATCGCCTCACATAAACTTAAACTGAGAATGAATGTATAATTATTTAAAAACATAATCATATTCTAAAATGCTAAAATTAAAATTTTAATTCAAACCCTCTATGGATGGATGGATACAGCTCAATATACAGCGCTATATAAAAATGAGTCATATCCATTTTTACATAATTAAAGCATTCCTGATAAAATAATTAATATCCCACTCAACATTCATGCCATAGCGGGGAAAAAGATTTAAGCTCGTAAATCCACCATGTCTCTAATTGAAACACTCCCCTTTTGTGGGATCCCCCACGCCATGGTGCTTCATATCTATCGCCAAAAATTTGGCCCCCCTTTATATCTTTATTTTGATGAAGAGCATAATGTTTGGGAACACTATGTTCCTTAATCCCTTTATGTTAATGTGTTCGTTAACTCGTACTGAAAAGTACCTAATGGTTCTACCTACATATTGTTTCCCACAAGGACAAATAATTAAATATACCAGATTTTTGGAAGTACGTGTGATAAATGATTTTATAGAATACTGTTTGGGGCAATGGTAATAGGTATTTTAATGAATTAGGGGTTCATCTTTTAAGATTCCTGGTGGGCAGAAAACTGAATAAACTTGATGCTATTGATAGGGAGATCAAGGAAATCAAAGATAAACTCCTACAGTTTAAGCAATCTACTGAATATGCTTCTTTATCTACCAATTTAAAAAATTCCCTTGATAAGGAAGAACATGAACAAAGGGGGGAAAAAAGGAAAGGAAGTATATTTGAGATGTTGGAGATTGAGTCAGGTTCAGTCTTTGGCTGGCAAAAGAAAAAAGATACTAATACAGAGATGAAAAAGGAAGGACATAATGATGTTCAAAATGGGGTTAATCAGAGGCCCAACATACAACATCCTATTTGTCATGGTCAGCCTCCCTTTAGAGGTGGTTGACCACCCCCACTGACACAACCACCCCAAATGAGTTGGAAAGGACCTAATGTTAGGACACCCAATCAACCATATAGGGGCCTCCCTAATAAAAATAAACAGCCAATATGGATATGCATGTGGGTCCCCGCATAGAGGAAAGGACCACCACACATATAGGACCCCTTCATTTTATAATAATGGATATAGGGGCCCCCCACAATCCAATAATTTTTTGGAAGCCTGATTATTGGTCCACACAAAAAACAAAGGGTATCCTGGAGATTCTCATGGTCCCCAAGGATACACACAAGGGGAGAGGGGTCATGTCCCCACCTATAACAGATATTCTCCATTAGAGGACAATCCATGTCCATACATGGTGGGGATGTTGATACTTCCCCCTTACTGTATAATTATAACCAGGTGTCCCCAAATCTATACCAACAGGATTTTCCCCAATACATGCAAGGAAAAAGAGGGGCCTAGAACAAAGAGGGTCTAGAGGGGGGAGGAGATACCAATGAAAAAAAGAGAAAAATATACAGTCAGGTCCATAAATATTGGGACATCGACACAATTCTAACATTTCTGGCTCTATACACCACCACAATGGATTTGAAATGAAACGAACAAGATGTGCTTTAACTGCAGACTGTCAGCTTTAATTCGAGGGTATTTACATCCAAATCAGGTGCACGGTGTAGGTTTTACAACAGTTTGCATATGTGCCTCCCACTTGTTAAGGGACCAAAAGTAATGGGACAATTGGCTTCTCAGCTGTTCCATGGCCAGGTGTGTGTTATTCCTTCATTATCCCAATTACATTGAGCAGATAAAAGGTCCAGATTTAATTTAAAGTGTGCTTTTTGCATTTGGAATCTGTTGCTGTCAACTCTCAAGATGAGATCCAAAGAGCTGTCACTATCAGTGAAGCAAGCTATCATTAGGCTGAAAAAACAAAACAAACCCATCAGAGAGATAGCAAAAACATTAGGTGTGGCAAACAACTGTTTGAAACATTCTTAAAAAGAAGGAACGCACCGGTGAGCTCAGCAACACCAAAAGACCCGGAAGACCACGGAAAACAACTGTGGTGGATGACCGAAGAATTCTTTCCCTGGTGAAGAAAACACCCTTCACAACAGTTGGCCAGATCAAGAACACTCTCCAGGAGGTAGGTGCATGTGTGTCAAAGTCAACAATCAAGAGAAGACTTCACCAGAGTGAATACAGAGGGTTCACCACAAGATGTAAACCATTGGTGAGCCTCAAAAACAGAAAGGCAAGATTAGAGTTTGCCAAACAACATCTAAAAAAGCCTGCACAGTTCTGGAACAACATCCTATGGACAGATGAGATCAAGATCAACTTGTACCAGAGTGATGGGAAGAGAAGAGTATGGAGAAGGAAAGGAACTGCTCATGATCCTAAGCATACCACATCATCAGTGAAGCATGGTGGTGGTAGTGTCATGGCATAGGCATGTATGGCTGCCAATGGAACTGGTTCTCTTGTATTTATTGATGATGCGACTGCTGACAAAAGCAGCAGGATGAATTCTGAAGTGTTTTGGGCAATATTATCTGCTCATATTCAGCCAAATGCTTCAGAACTCATTGGACGCCGCTTCACAGTGCAGATGGACAATGACCCAAAGCATACTGCAAAAGCAACCAAAGAGTTTTTTAAGGGAAGGAAATGGAATGTTATGCAATGGCCAAGTCAATCACCTGACCTGAATCCAATTGAGCATGCATTTCACTTGCTGAAGACAAAACTGAAGGGAAAAATGCCCCAAGAACAAGCAGGAACTGAAGACAGTTGCAGTACAGGCCTGGCAGAGCATCACCAGGGATGAAACCCAGCATCTGGTGATGTCTATGCGTTCCAGACTTCAGGCTGTAATTGACTGCAAAGGATTTGCAACCAAGTATTAAAAAGTGAAAGTTTGATTTATGATTATTATTCTGTCCCATTACGTTTGGTCCCTTAACAAGTGGGAGGCACATATGCAAACTGTTGTAATTCCTACACCGTTCACCTGATTTGGATGTAAATACCCTCAAATTAAAGCTGACTGTCTGCAGTTAAAGCACATCTTGTTCGTTTTATTTCAAATCCATTGTGGTGGTGCATAGAGCCAAAAATGTTAGATTTGTGTCGATGTCCCAATATTTATGGACCTGACTGTAGGTAGTGCATGGATTTTTAATCTCAGTAGTGTTGTACTCACAAAGGATGAAATTATGGTTTTAGATAAGTTTGCTGCTCTGCAACGACTGGATAGATTTCCCACTTTTGATATATAGAAATATATCCGGAAAATAAACATTCAACAGTATTTGATTACTGATCCTATTTTACACAGACCTGAGGTTAACTCATTAGGGGTTGTTCACTCTGGTCTGTCGAATGCCTCTACTTATAATCCTCCTGGTTCCTTGGATCCGTCTGTGAGTATCATTAGAGAATTGGTTTTGAAAGACAATGAACAATTACCTATAAGGAAATCCTCTCTGTCTATTCCATTAATCAGTGGACATAAGTTACTTTGTGAGAGAAGACCTGGTAGTACTCCCTGCTGATAAGGGGGGAGGGATTGTAGTGTTAGATAAAGTTGATTATTTGGCGGAGATGCAAATCATATTGAGTGATAGGGAGACTTATGCGATACTTAAAAACAATCCCACTTTGCTGTATATAAAAAATCAAAATTATCAATTAAGAATTTAAAAATAATATTGTAGACAAAAAGAAGAAATCTTATCTTGTCCAATTAGCTCCTTGTATACCGACCATTTATTATCTCCTAAAAATTCATAAAGATCAAAAACATCCTCTGGGGCATCCTATTATTAGTGGGATAGACTCAATTACAGCGAGGATTGGTAGGTACATTGATGTTTACCTACAACCTTTGGTAAAAAATGTACTCTCATATATAAAGAATACTAAGGATATCATCAAACTTTTAAATTACATGGTGCTTAAGATGGAACCTTGATAGTAACAGCAGATTTGGCATCACTATATACCTGGATTCCATATGCATTGGGTCTT